GTTGACGATACTAATTATAAACCCTTTTGTAATTTTTAATAAAACTAACGACTTTTATCAGAAAAAATCAAACCAATAATTCAAAAAAATGATAAATACAAATAAAAATCCTTGTCGACAATAGAGAATAAACATCATTAACATTGATATATATGACGATTCGTTGGTAAACTAACATTATTATAATTTAATTTTGATTTATCATTAGTAATTGTAAATATATATTAATATCTTATTCGAGTTTATAAAGGAGTGATAGAATAACATGATAACGGAATCAATATCATATAGATATGGAGAGACACTATCAAATTTAATCTTTGAAAAAATGCATGTTATAATAACAAACAAAAAACTGATACATCACAAGGTTCACATTAAAGGAAGAAGTAATAACTCTTCCAAATGATCCACTCGTCCAAGCATTGGAAAAGAAGATCAGAACAGAAGCATACTTGCGACGACTTTTTGAATGGGATCCTGATCTTATTTAGTTAATATGTCTTCTGTAGATACGACCGTCTATCTCTTATCTTTACAACGGTTCTTGAATCGCATCAATCCGATATCGGGAACTCAATATATGACCATTTTACTGAAGACGGTGCATGCAGAAAATCCTATACGGGATTAATACGAGATTTTGTAAATATTACGAATTTTCTATATTTTTATTGATTTTTTGTAATATAACTTAATATAGGATGATGCATTATCTTTTAGGATTAGATTTATTATTTTATTAGGAATTAAGGTTGGGTTAAAATATTATTTTTAGTTATTATTATTTTATTAGGAATTAGAGTTAAGACATGTTTAGTTTATTATTATTTTATTAATTAGTTATTTAGGACCTTTAGAACTCAACTCCTATATAAAAGAGGCTTCATTCAATTTTTAAATCAAGATTTCTTTGATTAATAATACGACGAGAGTTCGTTTTTGCAAGTGCTGATTGCCTTGTGCCTTCGAAGCTTATTCTCATTGAGTTCTTTCAAGTTCTTGTGAGGGAGATTAATCTTCACACTCTAATTTGTTTTTTCATTGCGACTAGGAGGGTTGGTTAGAGCCATATTACCGTGTTTGCCTTTTCATTGCGACTAGGAGGGCTCGATAGGATATTATCCATCGATTTTCCACATATCCATCCACGTCATCAATCATCTTTACCGTTCACCTTCATAAGGGAGATTTTTTGATTTCTTGGTTATCTTATTTTATTTTCAATTTCTTTATCTTGTTTTAATCTTATTTCTTACATTGTTTCCAGCACCTAAAAGAAACTCTAAGAACCCTACTTGCTGCCGCCACCTTCCCCTATTCATTCCCCATTATTTTTCATCGAGTCTAGAGCTTTCTAGGTTTGATTCTTCAACAATAGCAATGTTCATTAACCCGCCACCGCTTCCCTATAAAAAACACAACATAAAAATAATATATATATATATATCCATTATTTCTGTAAGAAAAGAAAAGATTAATTAAACAAAAATATAATGCGATTAGATTAGGGGGAAAATCAATGTTCGGTAATCAATCCAAAGTTAATGTAGTCGTAGATAATAAAAGTAATACTTTTGAAATTAAAAATGGAATATTACAATCCCATAAAAAAAACTTGAATAAACTAAATATTTGATGCTTGGGCTTTCTTTGGGTTTAAGGCTGCGTGTTTCCCACTTTGGGCTCGAGGCTTATGTACTCTCTGTTTCCCATTTTTTAGCCCTTAAGGCTGCCTTGTATCCAATACTTTTATGGTAAACTACACGTTTGGTAATTGAGCTTTACTCTCTCTTTTATTTCACTAATAAGTCTTTTAATTTTTTTTAATTTACTCATTAAACTTTATATATTTTTTTTTTCATTTTGCCGTTAAATAACTAACGACATCATGATCTGACCGCATTTTAATCAAAATGATGTCGTTTTAGTCTAAATTTTTTTAGGAATTTAAAATGACGTCGTTTTGATGTAAGTTACTATGTCTTAACGTCGTTTAATTATTCAACAATGAAGTGATAAAATAATTCAATTTATAAAATTCAATAAGTAAATTGAAAAAAATTGAAATTACAATAAATGAAATAAGAAAAAGAATAAAATTCAGTTACCAAACATATAATTTACCCAATGTTTAAATAATAATAATACTAATACTCTCAAGATGAGAGCAGTTGAAGCTCTTAGGTTATTGAAATTTTATATGCACGCACTTATAATTGCCAAAACCAAAAAAACTTAAATGAAAAAAATATGGGTAAAATAAAAAATAAAAATAACAGTGATCACAAAGAGAAGATGAAATAACTAATAAAACTAAACCAAACATGAAAAATCATTACTAAATTGGCTAATTTAAAATTAAATTGAGATTTATAATAAATGTTACATTACAAGATAAATTTGTCACGCTCACATGATAATTTATTTAAATATTATTTTTATTTAAATTTATCATATCGAAATGACGAGTTTAAAAAAATATAATTTTTATTAAATTTTATTACATTGGAGTTATAAGTTTCAATAAAAATCTATTTTATAAAACCTCATCATGTCTAATACGAATTTTAAATCACTATATTAAATATCGTAATTCTCAAAATAAAATATATGATTCGGTATTAAGCTAAATAATTAACCCCCTTTGACGAAAATTGCCGAAAATTCATGACGCTGGCAACGCCCAAAAGTCATGCTGATCTCTAATTTCGTGGCATTGCTTTTGATGCAAAAGGATGAATGTGCAGACATGGAGGGGAGAGAGCCAGAGAGTAGAATTAGTTCAGGATAAACTATGCTAATGATCACTAATGTTTGGGTTAATATTCGTTTCTACCACTAATATTTCAAGAGTCTCAGTAATATTATCGATTGTTATAAATTCATCGCTCGACGTTAACTGCCGTAACAGAAATCATTGTTGAACCGTTATATACTAACTTAAATTGCCACATGTCACTTCTTCTTCTTCTTTTTATCTCTCCTCTCCTTTTCTCTCTCTCTTGTCCACGTTTTCCACCACCATGAGCCTTACAATAGACAGTGTGGCTCTCAGAACCTTTGTTACACCCTGGTTTTTGGCATCTATCCGCCTCCATGACCAATACAAAGACCAGATACCCCTCTTACTCCTTTTGAGCAGCAAGCAAACTTGCATTTCTTTGAATTGCTTACTCGATTGTCTGAGGACGTTATAGTGGTGGTTTGCTCAGAGAGTGTCTACAGAAAAGTCGGTCTGCGAAGAGGGTTCACAAGTTTGATGAAATTCATGACAGGGAGATTTATTCCCAAATTGAAAAGGCTCGTGTCTGAACTAAAGCTTTGCAACTATCCATTTTCGGAGTAAATAGGAGTGATGGCATATAACCACTAGATTTCTTGGCCACTCGTGATGGCATATAACCAAACTGAAAAAGCTCTTATGTCTGAACCAAATCTGACCACTCGTTAATGCTAATCACTGGGTTTTTGTTTTAGTACAAAAGCAACCCACACACTTGTTGCTTTGAAAAGATTGCAGGAAATGTTTGAAATTGAAAATTAGTTTAATAAAGGGTGACTGAGATCAAGATTTCAAAGTTTTTTCATTAGAAACCAGTGGTTTAATGGAAGTGGGAGGACGCAATAAGGGAATGGGGATGGTAAGCTCTTTTAGCAGGAAACATTAACTGCAGGTTAAAGATAGAGACTCGTCTACACTTGCTTTTGCTTCGACCTCGCTTCATCAGGAAACCTAGTTTTGGGTTAATAGGTGTGTGATTAGTACCTGAGCAAGAGTTCCTGTTTTCAAGCACGGATACTGGGGTGGAGAGACGAAGAGTATAGATAGAAGAAGACGAAGAGGAGGAGGAGGAGGCACGTGGCAAATCAAGTTAGCATATAACAGTTTAGTAGTGAGTTCTTGTTGCTTTTGCTTTTGCTATTAACGTTGAATGCCTATTTTATAACACACGATAATGTTATTGATTGATTTATTACTTTTGAAACATCAATGATAAAAACGAATACAAACTTAGATATTAGTGATCATTGACATAATTTACCCTTCATTATATTTGCAATTTGTAAGATCGTGGAAGGAAATCATATGGCATTGTTTGGCCTAGATACATAACAGCATAATATAATATATTTTAATATATAGTTTAATGTGATTAAATAGTATCCACAATTTTATCAGACTTCTAGTCTAATCTCTTTGCTTCTTTTAGGGTGAACTAGATTTTTTTCCAAATAACTTCTATTATTAATTTCTGTAAAAATCTGAATGTTACTTTATTATAGTATTCATTTTAATTTTATACATTTAAAAGAAATTAAATTATAATTTTACTATTTTAGAAAGCCATAATATAATCGTTTGTTATTAACTTATAATTTTATAAATTTAGAGAACATTCAATATATTTTATTGAATAATTTTTAAAAAGAAAATAAATTCATACGAGGGCACGGCCGCACGGGTATCAAACAAATTTAATGGATCCGCAGTTCGACAAAAATGAGATCAGACGGTGGGAAGAATTCACCACACGTCCATACCTACTCCATACCTGATGTCATTATCACCACTAATTCAATAACAAAAAACAACAAAGCAGATAATGGAGCCAGCAAAGCTAACCACCACCGTCACGTCACCACAATATAAACAATCCGAATGGTCGGTCAAGCGAAGTGCACAACCACAATTCATAGGGCACCGGGACCCATTGCCACCCTATTGGCCGGTGTTCAAATTTCTATACGCTCCGATCGGCCATCCAAATTCACTCCAACCGTACACGTGGCGAAAGAATAGCAATTCAAAGACCCTCGCCTTCAGTATTTTCCCGACAATGATAGGTGGCCCGCCAGAAAGAAAAAAAAAGGTTCCGTTTTTGTTTTTTCAATTTTTATTTCTTGAAAATTTTGCTTATTTTACCGGTTCGTAGCCGTTTTACTGGAGTATTGGACCCCTATATATATGTACTACTACCAGTGAAGAAGATGAGAGAAACAAGAGAAAAAAATAACTGTTTTTTTTTTCTATAGCAGAACAATCAAAATGCCGATTTCTCGAATTGCCGTAGGATCTCCAGCTGAGGCTGGCCAAGCCGATGCTCTCAAAGCAGCATTGGCTGAGTTTATTTCAATGCTCATTTTTGTTTTTGCCGGTTCAGGCTCGGGCATGGCTTTTAGTACGTATAATATATCCTTTCTCATGTCCTAAAGTTTCGTATTTGTTAACGTTGTAGCAATTCGCCAAATCCCCCTGTTTTTCTATGAACTAATCGAACCGTGTATGCTTCTTTGGCAGACAAGCTCACTGACAACGGGGCCGCAACGCCGGCCGGTCTTATATCAGCATCAATTGCCCATGCTTTCGCTCTGTTTGTGGCGGTTTCGGTTGGTGCTAACATCTCCGGTGGTCATGTAAATCCTGCTGTCACATTTGGCGCCTTTGTCGGTGGCCACATTACCTTGATCCGAAGTATTTTGTACTGGATTGCTCAGTTGCTCGGATCCGTGGTCGCTTGCTTGCTTCTCAAGTTTTCTACTGGTGGATTGGTAAGATTGAAATGCTAAAGCAAGTTAAGTCAAGGCTTAACTAATGTATGTTCTGAATTTGATTTTTTTCTTTATGATGCAGGAAACATCTGCATTTGCCTTGTCATCCGGTGTGGGAGCATGGAACGCGGTGGTTTTCGAGATCGTGATGACCTTCGGTTTGGTTTACACAGTTTACGCCACGGCTGTCGACCCGAAGAAGGGTAACATTGGGATCATTGCACCCATTGCGATTGGTTTCATTGTGGGTGCCAACATCTTGGCTGGTGGTGCCTTTGATGGTGCGTCCATGAACCCTGCAGTCTCCTTTGGACCGGCCGTGGTCAGCTGGACATGGAACAACCACTGGGTCTACTGGCTCGGTCCTTTCGTTGGTGCCGCCGTTGCAGCCATCGTCTATGAAGTCTTCTTCATCGCCCCAGACACATACGAGCAGCTTCCCAGTTCAGAATTTTAAGATTTCTGGTGTATTGACGGGTTCTATGCGATCCATTAACAAGGGTTGTAAGCAGTTTAGTGGGTCGCTTTGGTTTCGTATCTGTGGGTGCTTTTTATTCCCTGTTGTTTGTATCTCTCTTTTGTTAATGGTTGATTCCACTTAAACCTGCTCAATATCATTTCATATTTGTCCACTTCTGCCCAGTTTAAATAATTTTAGATCCTTTTAATCTGATCATTATGATCACAGAAACTGTATTAGGTAACACGCAGCTAAAAAAGCTAATTCGAAAGTCACATTGTATTTATAGATACCGAATTCAAGTAGATAGACTAATACATTCACTCACCTCGGTTAGGCTCCAAGCAAAAAATGTTATGAAAATTGCAAGTACCTCCTGGACCTGTTATAATCAGGTGAAAAATAAATTGAGAAGCAAGCATTTGTCACGACAGTTTACTTTTTGATCAAACATTGACCTATCAAAGTAAAAAAGTCTACTGTTACGTTTAATTTTATTTAATAGAGGTAACAATATATACAGGTGAAGATGCTTTATCAAGATATATGACCGGTTTTCTTTCTCCATCTTTTCACTGTTGAGGTTCGAACGAAGATTCTTCATTATCAAGAACTGAAGGAATCTAAAATCATGGGTTTTTAACAAAAAGTAAAGAAAGTTTGGAGGCCATTTCATAATTTTTAAAAGGAAAATGTCTAGTCATAACATGACTAAGTATTATCGATGGAGTGACCAAAATAGGAGTTAATCAAAAATTTAGTGAGTAGATTATAATGTTTTAAAACCTTAATGACCAAAATAAGAGTAAAAAGAAAATTGAGTGATGAAATTTATGATTTACTCCATTCTTTAATAGAGTTGACGAAGTTATTTTTTCGGATGATCAAAATTCAAAAGCATAATTTAATAATTAAGTGGTTAGCGGGATAATTTACCCTAAATTTAATATATAAAAGAAAGAAAGTCGTAGAATACGCCGCTTCCAAGTCATGGTAATAATTTTGAAAACTAGGGGTAGATGCAGAAGGATTTGAGAAGTGGAATCCAAGACTGAGCCAGTCCCCAGTGGGGTGATCTTCAACAAATTTATTCCATTTTTGTTTGAAGTCATTTATCATGAAGATTCAGCAGAGTTTAGTAGTACCTGTTGTACTGATTGGTAAAATTCATGCATGTCATCTTCCTATTTGTGATATCAGACTTTTTGTTCCGCTAGGGTGATAATGCAATTGATTCACTTATCACTAATATCTTTCCTGTGTTTCTTTTATCCTATACTAGAAGGTGTGTTGGAATGTATCATGGTAAAAATGAAAAGAAAAGGGGAGCTTTTCCATGGAAGATTAAGTCTTCCATTCATTCAACGATGAATTTAAAAAGTAAATTATAAGATTAATTTAGCATATATAGTGATGGGGTTTCATTAATTGGTTGAATTCAATAACTGAATTGCTCAGTTGCTGTGAAATCATTGTGTTTAGAAGATCCTCAAACAGGTTCAAAATATCCCCTTTATTTTACATTTTTTTGTATTTATTATGTTATAGTATTCATTACATCCGCCATTGAAATCATAATTCAAATGGCCTCAGTGAAGACTAGAGCATGAGATGATTACAGTGATATGCAGCAAGATGAGATATGAAAACACCCAGATGTTAAAGAGTTTCCCCAGGAGACAAGTAGTGTTACATACTATGAATAAATAAATGAATTCTAACTAGCCGGTTAAATATGGAAACATCTTACTCTCTTCGTCATCCATCTTCCACAGTGAATCCAAGCAATAGTCGTTACAGTTATCACTCGATGGTTTTATCATATTTTCTTCATACATATCAATATCCTTCCATATGTCATCCATGGAATACCCCTTTTCGTCTTCTAATTCCCGACTTTTCTCCCCTTCCAAGTCTGCCATGTCTGGCCCTCCGGTGTCGTAGAAACTTACCTTTCCGGTGCTTGACGACGATGACGAATGACCGTTCGAAGAAGATGAAGATGATGGTGACATGGCCTTTTTCTTTTCTTGAGCCTTTTTTCTCATGTGGGTTCTCCAATAGTTCTTGATCTCGTTGTCGGTTCGGCCCGGTAATTTCCGAGCAATTCTCGACCACCTGCACATCATTATCATGTTTATGTGCCAAGTGAAGTCAAGTGCATCAAACTAAGGGAAACAGAATACATATTTTTATAAATGTTATTGAATATTGTGGAACCTGTTTCCCCATATGGCATGAAGTTCAAGGACAAGGCGCTCTTCTTGGGGTGTCATCTTGCCTCTTTTGAGACCAGGGTGAAGGTAATTAACCCAACGTAACCGGCAACTCTTCCCGGTTCGGTTCAAACCTACAACAAAAAATCATTTTGTTAAACCAGGGCTCATTCCAAGATGTTCCAATCTTCAAGATAATCCTACCTATCGGTTGTCTCCCGCCAAACCTTCAAACCTGAAACTTTGGTGATAAAATCCCATCGCCGATCTCCAAATAAGTGCACGAAGTTGATCAGAATCATGTCCTCTTGCTCCGTCCATGGTCCCTTTCGGATTTCCTCATGCTTCATTTTCTCTGATTCCTCCTGGAAATGTTGCTGGTCATGGTGACCTTATGGGGTGTAAAGTCTCATATTTATACTAAAAACTATACTTTGCCATTGTCAAGATTCTCTTGATTGTCTTTTTGTTGGCATTATTATATGATGATGTAGCAATAGTTGTTGTAATGCGCGCATGCTCAGTTGTCATAGCTACCTTATGCATCTGATGTCAGCCACTATATGGATCCAAAATAATCAAAGTGATAGGTTGATAAGTTGATGCAATCTTCAAATCCTGTTGCTTCAATGTGAATTCCTATATCATTAGCTTAGCAAGCTAAGTGCAAATATAGGTTCCGTTTGATGAAAAAAACAACAAAAATGCTACTAATCTTTTGCACCAAATTTGACAGTGAGATAGCTGTCACATGATTATGTTTGCTTACAGGAAATTTAATGTTTTATTCTGTATACACAAATATTTAATATAATACTTGGAGAGAAATGAAAAGTCCGAGTAACATGAACAGATACTTTGTGGGAGGGAATATAGCAATAGAAGTGGCTAGATCCACTTTCCCATCCACTCAACGTGAGTGAATAATGTTACTGTCCCTTGACTTATGTAAAGGCCATAGTTGAATAGAAGCCCTTGACTTCAGTAAAGGCCATAGATGTAGAGAAGGTAAGTAATAATAGGATTGAAAATCAAGGAATAGGAAGAAAGTGTTTTTAGATGTCAGAAAAGTGACCCCTTAATGTTGTAAGAAGATGGAGTTAATATTTCCCTAATAAACTAAATGCTCACTTGATCATCATTTGACTTGATTTCGTAAGTCATATAAGAAAAGAAAAAGTGTTGGTTTTTTTTCCTATATATAAATTGTTGCCTTGTGTCATCCAAAGAAGCAGATAAACTGCTACTTACAGACCAGTATTCAATTTTTTACAAGAATACTAAACCATATCAGCACTAGCTAAGTATACACTAAATTTTACAAACTTGAACTTTCAAATTCGAGTGTGCCTCATACTACCTCTGGTTTAGAATCTTGGCACAGAATACAATGGCCATCGTTAATAATTCCCCACTAAACTATCCTTAGGAGGCATTATGTTAGGGATTATCATCCAAGAATGAGTGTCTAGGAATATGCACACGAAACCAAATGGTTTTGCCTATCATCCCTATCGACTCAAAATTTCAAATCATCATATATTTTAGATTTTTTTATTGAGATATATTTATTTACCTAGATCCTAATTTAAATTATTTAGACTTTATTTTTCTATTTTTTTACTATTTATACTTTTTCCTTTTAAGTTCGTTTTTTTAGTTCCGACCGTTGTTAGTTTGATACTGATTTTACACGATCAATTGTTCATTTCTACTTAATCGAGATAATCAACTGATTAAAATAAATAAATCTTAGGTGCTTAAAGGTATTGTAGGGACTTTATACAAGATAATATATGATATGACACTTGAATTCATTTAAGTTGCTATTGATTAGAGATGACGGTTCTTCTTTATGGGAATATACACAAACTGATGGTGGTTACTGCCATGTGTCAAGTTAGCAATGTGACTCTCAGGGTTTAATGAAGTTGACATGCATGCTTTTGCTTTCATCTCTAGCTGATAACCTCTTGAAAAATGGTTGATAGGAGCCATGTAATGGCTACCAAAAAGCTCAAACGAAAGCAGAATATAGGGTCTAGTTTCATTTCAATTTTGGATTGACACATTTAACTGTTGCCACTTGAATGACGATAAACTTTATGATAAGGAAAAAAATATTTGAAGTGGGATGTGGCATCATCTTTGCTTCTACTAGTGCTTATATTTGTGGTTTTGATGTTACAACTGTTGCCGGCATCGCAGAAAAATATAATAATAAAAACAAGGAAATTTCCCAAGGGGTTGAATGGCTCCTGTGCCATAAGGGCCCTTATAATTAGTGGGGTGGGTTCACCTTAGAAAGAACCCTATATATGATGTGGAAACCACCAAATTTATGGGCACCCCACTCATTTCTTTCTCTTCTTTTGCAGAAGATAGGGGTCATCACTACACGACACGGGCCAATCCCAATCATAAAAACCACCTAGTCAGCAACTCCTGGTTCTTGGATTTGTCTGAATTTTCAGCAGACATGTTTGCCTTTCTTTGCTCTGCCTTAAGCAGCAAGTTATAGGCATGGATGTTCTTGCCTTCCTTTGTTTTGCCTTAAAAATATACTTGACTAAATGTTTTACTTGGTGTGCTGTGACACTAATTTCCACGACCATGCAATCTGATAAAATGATAATATTGATGACGCTAAAAGATATAATTTTTTTTAATGCTTTTCAGTTTTGTCATATCCTTGAAACAGAGGTCCCATTGTTTGGGATGGTGGATTAAGCATTACAGAGCAAGTGATTAAGCATTGATTAACGGTTATTAATTATAAGAGAAACAAGCAATCATTTCTTGATGATGATTCTACATAAATGTACAACACTGATGATTGTAGGGACGCACCTGGTAATTTAGTCAAAGGCTAAGACTAAATTTAATGATAAACAAAATATTGTGTGCTGTCTTGGACCACTTTTACCCACTTATAGAAGACTATGAAAGTTGGGGTTAGTAATGCATTTTCTAAGTTCATCATAGATATAATATTCTAATTGAAATACAATTCATGGGGTATGAATAGGCTTTGTAATTGGACTCCATTCAATTCGAATCTAAGCATAAATTAGTTCATGTAATTCTTAAATCAATAATTTTCTAGAAAATATTTTACAATGTTTGAGAGATATTGTGTAAACCATTTTCCGTTAGTTGATCATTTAAAAAAATTATTTATTATAAATATCAAATATAATAAAATATATTATTTATTAAAAAATTAATATTATTGTTTTAAAATATTAAAATAATTTATTCAATATTATTATGTCAACATTATTATTAAAATATTTCTTCTACAAATTTAAATATAAAAAAATATTAAAATTAGTATATTCTATTGAAATAAAAATATTATATTATGTTTTTAAATTAGTAATAAACACGTCTGAAGTATTTTAAGAAAATATCAATAAATTATTATATTAATATTAAATACGTAAATAATATTATTTATTATTAATAATTAAATAATATTTATTCTATGAAATTAATAAATAATATAAATTTATATATACTTATTATATTATTAAAATAAAGAATATTGTAACACCCCAACCCGTACCCGACCCGGATACAAGTCTAAGATGTCACATTAACTTTTAAAAACGATATTCTTACAAAATAACAAAACATTTGAACTCATTTTAAGAAAATACCACAATATTATATTAAATTGTGTTTCAGTATAAAATTTCAAGTCAAAAACATATTTCTGAATAGTAAAATACGGTATGAACAATTCCGTGAACAGTAATAAACAGTACTGTGAACAGTGCAAAATGTTGAATTTTTTCCCATATTGTCAGAGGGGTACCGATTCCTCTGCTACAGGGAACCGATACCTTGCTACAGGACTGCTACAGTACCTCGACAAAACATGTATAAAACTCGTAAAATTTAAAACGTTCATCATTATACATTTACCATTTACATATATACATTTAAAAATTCCAAAACTCGATCAAAGCGTATCTAATACAAATTCTTTTTATTACATGCAAACTAAATTTTTTCTAACAAAATACATGTAATTCGATCTACATTTCTGATTTGATCTTCGGTAAGGAGAACTGACCTGTCTTGTTCCTCTTTACTTCTCTTTTTCGCTTTCCAAACCTACGTGTGAAACAATCACACGCTAAGTCATAGACTTAGTGAGGCATATAAACATATAATGGAAACCATAAAACATTTCATAAACAAAATGTATACATGCACATATACCATCATTATCATGATCTCTATCATAATCATTAACCCATTTATCATGTGATCTTGTACTTATCATTAACATGCTTATCGGTACTTATATTACTATCACTAATTTTTTTTATCATATAAGCATATACATCATATAATTCTTGTAACATATTTCATCTTACCAAAAACATATACTAAACATTTCTATGCACATCATGGAACACATATATCATTTCACAACAAAGCACACATAGTATCATATCAATTGATTTATTTACTCTCTTTAAATCCCATGTATTAGCCCATATATACTGTTGAGAACTTAAGGTATATGAGTACATTGAGGTTGTGCACCACTATGTTGTCACCACTGCTTGTATAAATGTCCTGAAGGACCTATCCAGAGGTCATACAGAACCTCAGCAACTGTCCATAGGTCCCGAAGAACCTAGGTAAACTGTCCATATGTTCCTTAGAACATATGTATACTGTCCATATGTCCCGAAAAACATAGGTAATTCTGTCCATATGTCCCGAAAGACATAGGTAATTCTGTCCGTATGTCCCGAAAGACATAGGTAATTTTATCCATATGTTCTGTAGAACATAGGTAAACCCTCGACTCTTGGCATGCCAACTATACCACTAGTTCTCATATCACTTAACATGGGCATTATCATTTATATCATTTCACACATTCACATGCACATTTCACTTTTCATATGATTTCATAATCATATGCCATTTAGCTTATAACACTTCTCTTGTGTTCATATGACATTAAATCATTGTCATCTCTTGTTCTCATATGCTTCACATAAATCACATTCATATCATATATTCATATAGGCTCACTACTTATCATGTCATTTCACATATACACTTTTATATCACATAACACATATCTTCTCATTACATAGCTTCTTATTATATCATTCACCTCATATAATCAAACATACATACATTTCATGTCATTCATTTCATTTTCTATATCCTTATCACATAGCTTATTTTATTTCTCATGTTCTTATGTAAGCACATATGTCATGTCTTGTTTACTTATATTCATATATACATCACATAGCACATATAATAACATCTAAACTTATACATGTACTCATATGCATACTTTTATATATTTACT